TATATATATATATATACACATTGTGGCTCTCTCTCGCATTGAAAATAAAATCTTCCAGAGCTCAATATCATTTATCGTATTTTCGGAATTTTAAATTAAGTAAGTAAAACTATAACGATCAATAGAAAATTAAATTAGCTGTTGTAAAATAGATTTGAACAGTAATATTAGTATAATTTTGAGGAGTATAATTTTGCATTTTAATGTACCAAAAAACCTTTGTATTATTCAATTTCACGTAAATTAATTAATTTATACAAAAGGTTAACGAAAAACGCGATTGAGCGATGTTATAATTTCTTTGTGACTATTGTAACCATTATGAAACAAGTCATCTTTAGCGCGATGTATATCTGTCCTTTTACTCATTAGTAGTAATCCATTGCAAAAAGGCTGTTACGTGTCATGTTACTATGTTATAAATATGTTTACATAAGGCTAATGCGTAGGAGTAGTCACAATTCGAATAATCACTTTATTTATATTGTTCAACGAGTATTATTCTTGAGGCATGTACCAACTGGCATTTGCAACGTATAAAGCTAATTAATAAAATTATCAAAATTATGTATCATCAAAATCAAAATCGTCAAAATCGTCAAAAAATCATCAAAATTATGTATAATAATTTATACATAATTTATCTTAAAAGACGCTCTATATGATCACATGTTATGAGGTGCAGTTCACTTGACGCTACAAATGCTTCCAAGTTTTTAATTAATCAATCAGAAGAAAGAATTTTACTAATTGACCAATCAAAGAATGCCTCGAAGCATTTGTAGCATCAAGTGGTCCGCGCGTAGCCACGTAATATGGACCACTGATGTACATTCAACTATACACTAAATACAAGAATTGATCGATTGTAATTTATTATTCTAATTATTACTATACTGTAATAATATCGTTCACGTTTCCCCCGTGTCCGCAATTCCTCTACTCTTCCCTATGTAAAGTTTAGATATTATGCACAAATGTATATGTGTCGCATATATTCATAAACTGCAGAATTGAAATAAACTATAGAAATTACATATAAATTTCGGCTATTTCTCTTACAAACGTTATCACGTATGTTGCTTGTCATTTTTTTTAACGTAAAAAAAGAGGTCATTTGTTTATGTCAAGTTAAGGCATCTGAGACTTATATATACGTTAATACTTGTATGTAATACAAGTAAATATTCTTAATCGATGTCACATGCATCGTCAGGGATCTGCTGAGCATTACGTAACAAAGCGGAGAGTTTTAATAACTGGTTTTTATAACAAAGCGACGACCCAGTATTCAATTAACGATAAAGTGCGTTTCGTTATTGCTACTTGGCAACCACGCAGAAGAAAAATTTGATGACAACCGACAAAATCTATTGAAACGAGAGTTTACATGCAAACATAAAAATTTTTCTTTTTTATTTTCAAAAAAGATGCAATATTACACAATAGCATAAATTGTCGTGAATTATTTAAAAACAATGAATTACGTATATTTATCGTTTTTATATAGATACATAAACATACTGTATATACTGTATATGGTAGATTCTATTATATTTGCATTTTGTTACGTGTTGATGTTTTAATTAGTCTATAGTATAATACGTATAATTGTGCAGGTAACACTACATGCTATTCTTAGAACGTAACACTCTTTATGTAATTCCACGTCATCACTATTTAAAGCCCTCGAATCAATTTGGTAATACATTACGTTATCACACTATTACATCAGTATAACATAACAGCCACATAACAAATAATAACATATAACATGACTGTTTGTTATTCATTCAAACGTATTTTATTATAACAAAATTATAAAAGACAGTGACTCTCTGAACTAATAATAAGTAAAAAGTAACTATAATAAAAAGGAGCATGTAAACCAAATGTAAATGATGCAATGATGAAATGCAAAAGTATCTATTCAATAATTTATGTACGTGAAACAATTGACGTTTCGACCTTAAATTAGGTCACCGTCAGTATTGTTACTAAAGCAATTTAAAAAAAAATGTTTCTTTACATATTCAAATGTTATTATTTAAGATAAATCAGTTACGTGTCATAAATTATATTAACGCATAAAATTACAATAGATTTTTTTTTAACTTTGTTTTTCGAATTGAAATTAAACTTATTAAACTCTTTAAAACTAATTAATAACGTTATACGTGCAAAACTTTGCATTGTCGGTGGAGTGATACCCAGTGATTTCCATTCAGTTCCTCTCACAGCATCACAGCATATAAGAAACAGTTTTTTCCGACTCAACTAGACAGACCATTAAATTTTAAGATTGACGTTTAATTACTATATGCAGTAAACTGCGATTATACTGTTTATAATTAATGACAAGAAACAAAAATACATTAGATCAGAAGTACACGGTACTTACATGTTAGGGTGTCTAAGCGCTACGACATAATTCATAATTCATAACGCGAGACGGACCGTGTTACCTACTTTACGCGAGGATCTGAATAATATTTGAACCGATTGAATTCTATGTATGCTCCATCGATGGCTTCCACTAGGATAATAAACATTGTGCTCTCTTCGACTTGCCATCTAGTTGATTAATTCATTAATAGCAACAAGGAAATTAGCTAGAGTTAATCACTACTTTTCGAGAGAAACAGAACAACTTGTAAGAAAGAAAGTGACAATCGAGCTTTGTGCCGTAAGCCGTAAAGCCTATTTACACATTTGCAACTGGCATTGTTATGTAGCATTGCGTAATCAGTCGAGTTTTTGTTTTATGCTCAGTTATGTAAGTCATCAACAATAATACGGTCTTTGTTACGTAAGTGCCAGTAGACGTCATCGTCAAGCACAATCACATATTATGCCGGATAGTGATAGTAAATATGCGAGAAATACGGGAGATGAATTTACATGTACACACAATCGACAGGACACATCGTTCTATTTTATTATCATTTATTTTACTTCCTATTTTGCACGAATG